ACCCGTATTATTAAATATAAGTGAAGAGCCTGAGTATAATAATTTCTGGCATTATCTCACCTGACTACTGTATAATAGCTCTATTTCATTTCTTCCTTACAAACACACATACACACACATACATACACACATTTGAACAAATATGCATACTAGAGGCCATCTGTCTGATATTATGCATCTCTTTCCAAAGAAACTGAGTGATTAGGTCAGTTAGAAAGCAGACATTACTCTGATAATTCCTGATATTACTTGATTTTTTTTCTCTTTAGCTGTTTGTAGCAATCCTTCAAATAGTGTTTGCTATGTTGTTGCTCTTTTGTGATGGAGGAAAATTTTCTTCACAGGAAATGGAAGACTTTGTCCAGAGCTCTGGAGAAAATGGTGTTGTTGTGGTTTCTCTAGGGTCAATGGTTCCTAACATAACGGAAGACAGGGCCAACGTGATTGCATCAGCCCTTGCCCAGATTCCACAAAAGGTTAGCTAAAGTGCCTTAACAGTGCACAACTACTGAGTGAGTCTATTAAACTCTGCAAATGGTCTGATTGTTGAAACTTCTTGCCTGAAAAGTTAACTGTTAGGGTGGCTCTAATTATCTTGGAGGTCAATTGAAATTCAAAAATGTAAGTGGAAGATGATAAAATAGTTCAGAGGGTGTGTTCAATTGATAAAAACTTTAGCATTGACATTGTGATCAGAAAGAAATATATTTAAGAGATGCAGTGACTTTTGGTATTATCAGGGTCAGCTACAGTGAAATCACCAAATTCTGCCCTGTCATATTCTCCTTTTGCTTAGAGGATTCCTGAGGTCACATTTTATATGTTATCAGAAAGTTAAATTTTAATAAGTAACTGTACAAGAACAATAACTGTACAAAAACAATAGCACAATAACAAGGAGCAGGTATTGAAAAAAGTCTGAAGTGCATCATACAGTTTAGGGTTGCCCTGTAATCTGGCCTCTTGTACTTTTTGTAAATGTTGAAATAGATCCATTCAGTGTTCTATTCAAGGTAATATTCAGAGAAATGATGACCTGTACTGGCAAACCATTATTTCAGGTACCTACCCAGCCAGGTAAATCTAGAGAAAGAAGAACACTGGCCTATGAATGGTCCCTGCCAATTTCTGAAGCAAGAGGATACAAGAGAAAGGGTGGAAATGGGATCCAGTCCCTAAGGTGGACCCTGC